TCACTTGTTTTGAAGACCAATTTGTTGTTGATTTGGGAGATATGAGTTGTACATGTAGGCAATGGGACATAAGTGGTATACCTTGTATCCATGCATGCTCAGATATTCACTAGTTGAAAAAAGATGCCACAGATTTTGTATCCCCTGTATATAGTTGTGAAAGGCTCATTGTATCATACTCATTCCCCATTGAGCCCCTTAATGGGAAGAGGATATGGCCAGAGGCTTCAGGGTATCCTATCAAACCCCCACCATTCAGAAGAATGCCAGGTAGGCCCAAGATCAGTAGAAAAAAAGCACCTGAAGAAGAGGCTAAGACAAGCACAAGGCTGAAGAGGTTTGGCTTGCAAATGACATGCCAAAGATGTTTCCAAGTTGGCCACAACAAGAAGACTTGCACCAATGACCCAACTCCAAAACCTTCTAAGGTAAAAATTGTTAGGAAATATATAATTATATTTTTATAGTTTCTGAATTTTGAACAAACATGTCAATTTCAGAGGCCTAGAGGTAGACCAAGGCTTATGATAGAAAGCAGACAGGCAGGTGGAAGTGAACCTATTGCTAAGGTATCAGTCTCATGGTATTATTTTTTTTTTTGTTTGACTTTATATTTTTTAAGATTCCTTGAATTTTACAAACTTGTTAATGTCAGAGGCCTAGAGGTAGACCAAGGATGATGAGAGAAAACACTGAGGCAGGTGGAAGTGAACCTATTGCTAAGGTCACAGTTTTTTATGTTTGACAGTACATTGTTTGTTTTAAAATTTTTGGAATTCTGACATAATATTGTATTTTCAGAGATCTAGAGGTACACCAACAGAGGAAACAGAGCAATCTGGAGTAACTGGAGTAACTTCCCATGCCCTTGTAGCTAGAAAAAAGAAAGCATTGGTACTTTGATACATATCATTCTCAATATTTGTCTTTAATTTTGTTTTTCTATTGTCTGTGATATATTTTGATATATATTTTTCAAATTAACAATGACAGATGCTTAGACAAAATAGAGTTCAAAAGCAATCTCAAAACAAGGAATCTGTGGAAGCTGTTGGAACTCAAGAAAGTGTTGCAAAGATCTGACAAAATATGTTTGTTGTGGACATGTGGTTGTGAACATGGGGTTTTTGTTTTGGTTTGTTTGTTTCAGGGGATTCAGTTTCTTTCAGTTTTTGTTTTTGTGGACATGGATGTGATGTGAACAAATTGATGCCAAGGACTATCTGTTTTGTCAAAAATGGCATAGATATGTATTGTTGTGGATCTTAAGACATCATGTATGTATTTTGGGTTACTTTTGCAACATAATAGCAGTTTCATATTGATATTGTTTGTATGTTCTTATGTTTGTATGTTTTAATGTTCATTGAAAACAAAATCACACCATGTTCTTGCCTGGAAACATATACAGCTTTTTCCTTGGTTCAAACAAAGATAAAATACCAGCTTTGTCTATTTAAGCATACAAAAACAACAACAAATCTAGCTAAAGATTACCATAATCACTAGAACATTGAAAACAAACACAATATATTCTTGTTCAAAGCTACAACCATCAACAAACACAACATCCTTGTTCAAAGCTACAACCAACAACAAACACAATATCCTTGTTCAAAGCTACATAAGCATTAACTTCTTCTCATTAGAAACACCAAAGAACCACATGGCTAACAAAAACATAGTGACTAAAATAAGCAAATTTTTCTCTGATTTTCTCCTCTGATCCATGGTTGCAATATTATTCTCAAGATCAGCATTTTTCCTTTTCAACAGATCCAACTCATTGTCTTTTACTTCTAATCTTTCAGACAAAAGTTTCTCCATAAACACTTTGCATTTCAATTGTTCTTCCAACACTTGAACTTGACCTTTCAACTTCAAATAACTAGCTTTCTGGTAGGGTGGGAGCTCAGGATCAAACCAAGCAAAAAATTGACAATCATCATCCTGTAATGTATAACAAAATTAGCATATTAAAAATCAATACAAAATGAAATACAAGCTACAAACATAAAGCAAACATCTATTTTTTTCTGATTTTCAACATAAATCAGACTTAAATACAAGCTACAAACATAAAGCACACAAAAAAGATTACTCAGACTTAAATACAAGCTACAAACATAAAGCACACAAATAGATTACTCAGACTTCACATACAAACAACACACATCCTCTGTTCTAATAATATTGTTCATCAGTAACAAGATCCTCAATCAATTTGATGGGCATTTTATAAATTTAGACTTCACTTACCATTCGATATTTGCACCGGTAGTACCTCCTAGCCGGATTCAGATCAGTATGAGAGGTAAGAAGATCGGGCTTTTCCCTATGTTTACATTCTAATATCGGATTTGCTGAACTCGGGAATGTTGTTGTCGGGAATGTTGCTGCCGAACTTGTCTTCCTATATGAACTGGAACCGGTCGACATGGAGTGGTCTTCTAAACTGAGCAATCGTCTTCTAGGGTTCTTCCTCAGAGCAGAGAGAATCGGGGTTCAAAGAGAATTTTAGGGTTAGAAATAGAAAATTGATTGCAATTTTTCTATTTAAATCGACGGGTGATGTGCAAAACGACGCCGTTTGTGGATGATGTGGAAAACAAAATTCAAACTTATACATGTCCGACGAAACGACGTCGTTTCAGGGCTGAGATGGAAAAAAAAATAATTTGATAAATACACATCAGCATGTGAGTTGGCAGCAGACGAAAAGTATGTACCGTTTTGCAAAGATTTGAAGGTTGTGATATCGTATGCAAAAGTTAAAAAGTCGTGATTATTTTGCAATCTCGATAAAGGTCATGATATTATATGCAATTTTGCCAAAATTAAATGATTAAAGTTGATTTGATGTAAAGTATGAGGGAGAAGATTTGAAGTGATGGTTAGTTAAAATTATGTGAGTTGATAAATAGTGAATTAATGTATGTGGTGTGTAAGAATGATTGATTTGATATTATCTAATTATATTGATAATATTGATGATTGTGGGGTTGAGTTAAAATTGAGTTAAAAATGTTTGGATTTTTTTGAGATAATTTGTATCCAATCGTGCTCTAAATATCTTTTATAAAGATAAATAATAAAATATTGTAATTGTTTTAATCATATTAGATTGAATATACACAATAAAACACCTAGACTGAATGCAAATTAGAATTAAACATTATGCACGTTAATGACTGTCAGGTTGTACTATATTGTTAGTTTAAATGCACATTATTGCGTTCAAGAATGTATATTAGTATATCAATTAATTTTGTTGTCATTCTTTTATTTGTTTTCAACGAACAATAATACAAAAAGTTAAATAATTATAAATGCATTTTTTAATATAAATAATAACTATTTCGATATTGTAAACGATCGAATAAATCAATTATTTTTATTTATAATAACTATTTTCTTAATAGATTATTTTCTTAATCGTTTATAATAGAGTTATGTGAATTGCACATTGATGACTATCAGATTGCACAATATCAAATGAAATCGACCAAACTTTTTTTT